CCCCCATTGGAATGCATTGAACTGTAGGTTTGACAGCTGTCAAACCTACAGTTCAATGCATTCCAATGGGGGTGGTGGAAATTCACCAAAAATTAACGAAGAGTTAGAACAAAGCCAAATTAAGTTTGCAAAGGTTTTACAAGGTGCACTAACGATCCCAAACATTTAAAATAGTTTTTGAACATTTTAAGACACTTTAAAAATAGTGAAAACGGAACATCGCTAAGCGAAACAGGGGACCTAAACTGTCATCGCTAAGCGAGACAAGGTCCCGAACATTGCTATGCGAAATTTCCCCATAGGGAACATCGCTAAACGGAGCACAAAATCACTCCAAAAACCTCATCGCTAAGCGAATACATTGTTAAACGAGGCAATCGCTAAGCGAAGCACCACTGTAGTTGCAGCAAACTGTACAAACCTTACACTGATTGGATTCCAGCCTTATTTTTAAAATGAATATTTATTGGAAAAATATAATAAAACGGTTCAACATCCTATCCCAGGCTACTGCTCCCACTGCTTCATGTTACTGGAGGATCCTGAAACAAAGGGTTCACAATTCTGCTCATCTAATAAGAATCTGGAGTACCTATTATGCAGCATGTAGGGCAAGAAAATTTATAGGTGGGGGTATACCTTTCCCTGTCTCTTCTCCTAAGCTCAGCCCCTTATTCTGTGCTTGTTTTCATGAGCACTTCTGCTCACTTAGCATAGCTGCTTTATACAGTGGAATAGCTTAATAGAGGTCAACTCAAAACGAGTCACCTTTCAACAAATTGTAGGCCTGATTTCTTGCCATGTCCTTGGAGACAGCAATGGATGGAAAGAAGAACAAAGGCCTTTTTTGCATCAGAAACCCATGCTGAGAGCCGGAAGGGGGGGGGAAATGTGGGGGCTCTAGCCATTGTAATTAAGGATGATGTTTTGTAATAGAAAAAGATAAAAATAAATCAGCCAGATTGTTGCTGAAAATTTAGAACCTAGAATTTCTCTTAGTTATAACTGGTCCGCTGATTTTGTTGTTGCTGCTGTTGCTATAATTGTTCCATTGTTTTCTTAAAAAAAAAAACCAAAAGAAATTACCTCAGTTGCAAGAAGTAATAATATGCTTATGTTATGGTCAGAATTTAGAAATTTACTTTTTTACATACTAGGCTAGTGACCTAGAGGCTTTCTAAATAACTTCAACAATGTTACCATTAGATGTATGTGACCCATAACATTGTTTATTAATTTTATGTTATGTAAAAAACAACTACCCTGAGCTGCATATGTGTAAGTGTATATATGATATTGTTCCCATTCACTGTTCTTTGCTATGTATGTGGAAGGCAAACAGCGTAACATTCAGTCACTTGTAGCTGACAGTTAATGAGTAGCTGTTGGAATTCTTTGAGGCATTCATGCCTGCTGGCTTTATGTGTGCTCAAGAATCCTAATGGGAATGCATTAATTGCAAGGAAGTTGATGACACATGATTAGCTGGATAGCTCAGTGTTTAAGGTATTTGGCCATGGAGCCAAAAGTTGGGAGTTTTCATTCCCCATGGTGCCTCCTGTGAATAGAGCCAGCCTATGTGGCCTTGGGAAGTGCACAGTCCCAGGGGCCCTGAAGAAAGGAATGGTAAACCACTTCTGAGTACTCTCCATCTGGAAAACTCTGGCTGTAAGTCAGAATTGACTTGATGGTACATAATTATTATTAGAAAGTAGTGAAAGTTATGCCGTTTGCCTTTTGTATACATAACAAGCAACAGGACTTCATAGTATTGTTTTTTAAAATACAGTATATCATTGTTATATTTTCTTCAAAAAAAGGAACTTTTCACAGGAGATAGTACTGTTTTTAACTTCCAAGCTTGAGACAATGATCTGCACTCTACTATTAAGCATTTTTCCTTTGCTTTCTTCTGAAAGTATATTTTAAATGGTCTTTGAATGAAGTATCTCATTAGCTCTCTTTATTATTATTGTTACTAAGAGTGACCGGCTGCTCATCAAGGGAGGAAAGATTGTCAATGATGACCAGTCCTTTTATGCGGATATCTATGTAGAAGATGGTTTGATTAAGTAAGTCACTTAAGAATATTTTGAAGTACAGTGTTAGGTGTGTCAGACATTTCAGTGTAATTTATTCTGAGTAGTTTTCTAATTTGCTCTATTGTGTAAAACAAAATGTATATATGATGAATTGAGAAGATATCTGCCTCAGTGCTGATATGTAACAACAAGAAAGCAATACATATTGTCCTGTTGAACATAGTGTTATTTACATATTAGTATCTCTGGATCAAGACCATTCTAGTGAAGTAAAAATCTGAAGAAATATTTGTAGAGTTTATATCATAGTCACTTGTGGTTAGTGTTGACATTACCTTACCTAATTGTGTGATACAAAACTGGTAAACTTTGAGGAGAAATATTAATTGCATTCTTATGTGACAGTGTAAGTCATGGTTTGTGCTTAAGCTCCAAATTATATCAGTCAGTTAAATGAACAATTGCTTGTCTTACTCATTCTGTTTTATTTCCCACCCCCTTCTGTTACTTGTTATTTCAGGTTCAGTAGCTGAGAAAACCAAGGGGCAAGCCAAAGTTGCATGACATCACAGTAGGCCATTTTTGAAACAAACTAGATTTCATAAGTCAGCAACAAATCATAGATTCAGATTGTGGTTTGTGGCTGGTTAAGAAATCATGGCTTGTTAGAAGAGGTGGGTTCACTTGTCACTACGGGTTGCCGCAGTGTACAAATGTGCCTTTTATGCCATTTGATGCATAATGGTTTGACCTGGCCATCTAATGGGAATGATGTGCAGGATGGAACAAAAGAACCTCCCACCCATTTAGAACTTCAGAATGTACATGAGAACAATGCATTTCCAAGCCTTAGGTTGAGCATGATTCATTTAAAAAATACATCTTTCACTTGATGTCTATATGGTACCTTTTGATCCTCCTTGTTCAGGACAGCAGAAAGCATTCAAGTGAAAAGTATACAAAACACATTTCTGAAAACAGTGTTATGAATGTCAGAAACATGGTGAGCTGGATCCAGATTAAAATTGTTGCTCCTTTTGAGAAAATGAGACATTCTATAATAAAACTGTTGCTTAAATACTTTATTTGCCTCATTGATTTCAGTGGGACTTAAGTTGAACTAAGGTGACATCCTTCTTGGGTAACTTTGTAAACAGATCTTCTCAATGTCACTTGCAGGCAAATTGGGGAAAATCTTATTGTTCCTGGAGGTGTAAAGACAGTTGATGCTTATGGCCAGCTAGTTATGCCAGGTGGAATAGATGTTCATACTAGATTACAGATGCCTTTGATGGGAATGACCTCTGCTGATGACTTCTATCAAGGCACAAAAGCCGCTCTTGCTGGAGGAACAACCATGATACGTATGTATTCAATCTCTTGTTGCAAAATGAGCATTGGTTATTTATGACCTTCCTTGACAAATCAGGAAGCCAGATTCCTTTCTAGATAGTGTTTTAAAATGCATTCTTGGTGTGAGCATCTATGTTGTACATATGCAGTCTTGATTTCAGTGCTCAGTCAAGTGGCCATATAGCTTCATGACACATATCTCGTACATTAATACATTTGCAAAACTATGTCATGTTTCAGACATTTTACCTATTATATGGTGGCTTTAATCATTGTGTAGTAACCGCCAATAAGAAGTTTACATGTTGTCTCCATTACAGAAATGAATGGTGGAGACTATTTCCCCCCACCCCCTGATTTGGGCTGTATTTTAAATTAATGATCTCCAACTTTATTTATTGGAAGTTATTATGATGGCACATAACAAGAACCCATTATTTGTCGCAGTTGCAGTTCTTCCTTTTAATCCCCTGTCTTCTGAAAGCTTGAGTCTTTTCACCAGCCAAGCAATGTACAGTTGCAATTACAGAATGTAAATGTACAGAGTGTAAATTGTGGCTTTCTTCCTTCTGCTTCCTCTTGAGTAGAACTCAAGTAGATGGAACACATCTGATCCTGGAATCAGTTTGCCAGGGGAAAGATTTGAGCACCACACCAACATTCTATATTGGACAGATTTACCAGCAGCCCCTTGTATTATGCAAATCTTGTCTCTTTAAGAGACCAGCCTATATGTTTTTATTTGTGAATGAGTGTGATTTTCTTAAAGATGCAGCAACAGATGTAAGGAGAGGTTGGCATGTTTTATACAGTGGATCCAAAGTGTAATATTATTGTTCGCTTTATTTATGCAATAGTATTCAATCTTACCATATGTTCTTCAGTAAATACGTCTTTTTTTCTCAGCATTAATGTCAGTATGTTTGTGCATTCTAGAATTCAGGGAAATTCCCAAAAGTATAAAAATCTTTCATGTAATGCAAAAGGTTATGGATGAAACTGAACCTCCCCAAAGCAAGGGAAGTGTGATTACAAATTAACCCCTAATCTCTCTCAAAACAAAAGCAGATCTGTGTATCCTTTGTATATCTTGAATCCATTATTTTAAGTTGACATTCTTGGTAGTCACTATCATTTGGAGTGGAGAATTAAATCCATGTTTTAAACTAATTTTTGCTTGTTTTATTTTTAAAATGTATCAGCTTTCCTTCATCCACAGAGGATTCCAAAACACTTGGTATAGGTGGGTGCTGATAAGTATTGAGCCTTTCCCAGGAAAAATTGAGCTAGGAAGCTGCAAATTGCAGGGTGTATTGGCCCATTTGTCTGTATTCAATGGTGCAAAACTCAACTACCTATGATTTTAACTTATCTTTCGTGTTCAGGTCCAAAGTGAACATGGCAGCACCTCCAGAAAAGTTCAATGTAGAAGAGCATAGGACCATAATCAAGTTCCTGTTTCTCCAAGGGAAAGGTGCAAAGCAGATC